AGATTTGTAGTTTTAGTCCAGTGTGTTGACTGAACTGGGACCTCAGTGGAGCTCCTCTCCTTAGTGTGCGAAACACTTGTTCTCTCCTTTCAGTAGGAAGCAGTCAGTGGTGCAGAGGCCCATGAGCAGGAGCAATTTCACATTGATAGAAATAAGTGAGTTCAGTCTTGTATTTTCAGTAAATCAGAGTAGCCCCAGACACTTGAAATGTGTTAATATAAGCATACTCACCTTTGACAACCTTGATATTTTTGAAATTAGGTTGAAATGAACAGCATATTTCATTTTCTGCTCAAATTCTAATCTCCACTTCTCACTTTATTTTAGGGAAGCAGATATTTAGCAGCAAAAATGAATTTAGGATCAGCGCACTGAAGTTCCACCCTACAGAGTCAAATATTTTCATTTGTGGAGGGTTCAGCCCAGAAGTTAAAGCTTGGGATATAAGGACTTCTAAGGTAATGGAAATCTTTTTTTCTCTTTCTCTTTTATAATATTTTCTGGGTTGGATATGCTGTGCATTACTAAGCTGCTAGCTGTACTGGTCTTTCGATGAAATGTTATTCTGAAGTATTTTGCATTTGTCATTGATTGTATTGCCATGAACCTCTCTAATGTTTTTGAAGCATGAAGAGGAACATTGTACACAAAAAATACGATTTTTTGTTTGTTTGTTTATGTAAATATGAGTAACATATAGTTGAATTAAATAAAGCCAATAGCTCACTTCAGGACTGTGAAAAAGGCAGTTGTGTACTAGGAAGCAGTACAGCTAACTTGCTTTTCAAGCAGTTATGTGTGGGTCAGGATGTGTGTGCCTGTAGCTTTTGTGTAGAAGCCTGGAGTAATTTTACATTCGCGAGGGCCACAGAGAGGCATGTAATAGCCTCTGCCTTTACTTTATCCTGAACCATGAAGAACAGTGTGCTCCCCGCTGCCATTCAGAGCTCAGGTAAGACCAGAGCTGTACTCTGCCAGTGGAAGCGTAAGGCAAGCAGACATCCTCATGCACAGAAGAGCTCAAAGAGCAGCAGTGACTGTAAAGTGAGTAGTGCTTTGTTTTCCTTTGAATTTCTGTGTGGGTAGATCCTACTCATCATAGTTAGCCATCTGTTTGCTCTTGAGGGTGACAGAAGGGATCTGAAAAAGATAATATTGCTTATCCAGACTTTGACTTTGAAGTACTAAGAATAATAGGTGAGAGATGTAGGCAGAGGCATTTCAGGTATGAGGGCTCTAACAGGAGATCTCTGAAGTAGTTATGGGAGTAGCTCTATTAAGGAAACACAGTATTATTGTGCAATAAACAATCTGATTCCTGTGCTGCAGTTGTTCCTTTGGATTTGTCACTGATGTTTGAGAAAAGAATTTAATTGTGTAGGATCTATACCGCAGGCTTTCCTCACACAAATAAGGTCTTAAAAGAAAAGCATTAGTAAGTACATAGCAAGACTGCCGAGTCTGAGGCTACTCTGAAAATAAATTTACTGTGAGTTTCAGAGTTACAGTGTCAGCGAGAAAACCTTTGTAAAAAGTCTGATGGGATTTATTCCATCCATCATGCTTGTATGATGGCTAGTTTTCCTTGATAAGGGTATGAAGAGATACTCAAAACACAGTTATATGACAGAAGATGATTCTATTTTTAGATTGCCAAAATTGTAAATACTTATAAGAATACCTATGTAACTTTTTAAAAAGTTACGAGTTTTTCCATAGTAACTCTTCCCTCCCTCCCCCTGCCTTGCACTGGTGTACAGTATTCTGGTGTTGTCAAGAAGTGATTTTGGTATACTGTCTTTAGCGTAGACAACCTACAGAACATGAAAATATGTGTCACACAAATAAGAAGTAGTACCAGTGCAAATGGTGTTTGTTCCAGCTGATCAGAGATTACCCTGTAAACTTACAAAAACATTACTTTTTTTCTGGCAGGGGGCTGGAGAAGAAAGACCAATAGAAGTCTTCTCTCCTGAACAGCAGGGTCAGTGGTTTCATAGCATGCAAATGAAGTAAGGAATACAATTGTTCTTTCTTGAGATTCTTCCAGCAGTAAACTTGAATTGTGGGGAGGAGGTGCAGTCAGTAATTGAACACTTAGCTGTCCTTTTTAACATAGAGAACAATTGTATGTCATGGTAGGCTGAGCTTCCTTTAAAAAGTACTTCAGGAACTGAATGGGTATAATCTTTTTAAGGCTTAACGATTGTTGACTTGCAATCAAAATTTGAGATATTTGGTCCTAGTCAAGGAGAAGATGGCAGATATAGGTGACAAAACATTCTTTCTGAGATTTTCTAGGGGGGTGCAATAAGCTTTCTCTTAAATGATATTGTAGTTATACACAAAGTCAAATGATAGTCTAGTTGTGTACTAAGCCAGAGACATTCTTTATTTCACTCCCTGTAGTTTCTTTATGATGGATTTTATGCCTCTGTATGTCTTTGAGTGACTATTTCTGAGAATCCGGTAAAGGTGATTTTTCTCTAGATTTGAAATCAACTGTGATTGATGAGCATGTTCATGCCAAAAATGGCAATATCTGCATGTGTGTGTCTAAGGTGCCCAGTCTTTACAGATGGAAAATGGTGATTCTGCTCTATAGTAACAAACAACCAAAATGGCATGTTGCAGAAATGTACCTGTCTGGAATGGTAGCTTACTGTTGGGTACAGTTAAGGAGGAATGTGGTTAGAAATCTTTCATAGCTGGTAGGAGACAATCTCAGATGTTGACAGTTAAGAAGGCACTTCAGTTTCAAGGAAATAGAAGATTCATTTACAATGGAATTTACAATTCAAGGGTTACGCTTGAATAAGATTTTTTTTGCAGCAGTTCTGAACCAGAGATTGTGATGACAAGACCCGAGGACAATGGAAAATTGGCATTGACTCAAGTAGAATTAAAGGGCTAAATAACAGATGTTAATGCTTGCACTAGGTAAGTTAGTTCCGAGTAATCTCCTGACTCTGATGCTCTCCCATTGTCAGTATCTCTGCCAATCGCTGTATTTTGGTTTTATCTTTGAAAGGTGTTATGGTGACACCAAGAGAAATGGCTTGAAAAATCCTGTTCCTGGTCCTTTTTCCCCTTTGTGAAATTTCAGAGTTTCAGTAGTGATTTCTTTTTGTAGCAGATAAGGTCCCAAGCAATATTTTATTCCAAGCAATGAAGACACTAAATGTGTTCATCTCTTAAAGCATCTCCTTCCTGTTAGGTTTTAAATTCTGGTGCCTCAGCTCAACTGCAGCCAAACTGTCAATTGATATGTCTGGCATAGTTTACACGAGGCATTATTCCAGTGAGGAGCAGACAAATGTGTTGAGATGGGGGCTGCAGCAGAACATGAAAAGATAAGGAGCAATGTGCAATTTGTGAGGTACTGGCCTTTGTAAAAGGCATTGTAAGAAGGCAAAAGAGCAAACCCATACTGATAAACTGTAGACTTTAATAGCCCACCCATTCACCTTTGTAATTCTGACTACCAGTAACCTGACTTGAGATGATGTTCTGATATTGTAACTTTTGTGTAAACTGCATCTGAAAGCAGGAATACCTGCTTTCAAAACAAAATTGCTTACTGATCTGGGTGTGGTGGCTTTTTCAAATGGGTGCAATGAGGTATTTGTCTTTCCATGGGCCATTCCCTACCCACTTTTAATACTGTTGCCAAAGTAGATGGTACTCAGGATTGTTACATTATGAATTTTTTCTTTTTGACTGAGCATATTGCTGTTGCGTGCAATTTGTCACAACACTGCATGCTGTGACATCCTTTGATCCCATCTTACGATGTCATTTGTCAAAAGGCCATGCGTTTTGTGGCCAGGATGCTACATACAGCAAAAATGAGACTGGCAGAATAATGCATTTTTATCTCAACGACTAACCATACACTCATTTTTGCAATGCTGAAGCTCCAGCCTTGGAACCTGCCTTAAAGAGCTGTTGATCACTGGGGAATGCACACAGTGGTTGTTTCTGTACCTGCAGGACACTCCACTGCTTGGAAAGATTATGTGTAACTCTATTTCCATAAACTGATGCTAATGGAGACGTAAGGGAAACATCCCACTGTATTACAAGGAAATAATTTACTTTCCAAGAGAATAAATAAGTGAATGAATGTGTATTCTGACAGGTAAAATAGGAAGGATTTTAGGCTTGGAAAAACAAAAACCCCAGCCTGTTTCTTTTGTACAGATCCTGTACTGGGTTCTCTCTGGAAGTTTTTAGAAGCTGTTACCTGCTTTGTTCATTAGGAAACAATTATATTCATGTAGAACTTAATCAGTTGAAAAACTAACCATTTAAGTAGCATATGAGGAATATTAATTTTAACAATGAGCAGCATCTAATCATGTTAGTAAGTGGAAGGTGTGGGTTTAGCCTGGTAACAGATATTGATCCTTTTTTTGTTTGTTTCTTTGACGTGTTTGCTCATTTGAAAACCATAACTTTGTATGTTCTGTGATTGTCTAAAGCAGCAGTGTGGTTTACTCTCTTACTCTGAAACATTTCCAATAGGGGGAGAGAGTTTCTATTATCCTTTGATTTCCACCCCCCCACCCCCATCTGAGGTAGCTGTAGCTCAGTGATGGGTGTAAACTGTTAGACACCCACATTTGTATTGGTTTTAAAATTTGAAGAACTCTGTGTGTGTGTGTACTGAGTAAACGTGGCAGGTCATAGCTGAGTGGAGAAAAGGGGAAAAATATCAAACTCTTGATTGCTTATGGCTGCTTCTTGCACAATGGCGAGTATCACCTATTCATCATTACTGCAAAATAATGGAGTTACATTGCAAACTCTAAGCCACAGAACAGTATGTTGGTGTGCTGGTTTTAGTCAGGGTAGAGTTAGTTTTCTTCCCAGTAGCTTGTATGGGGCTGTGTTTTGCCTTTGTGCTGAAAACAGTGTCTATAATTCAGGGATGTTTTCGTTATTGCTGAGCAGTGCTTACACAGGGTCAAGGCCTTTTCTGCTCCTCACACCACCCCACCAGCGAGTAGGCTGGGGGTGCACAAGAAGTTGGGAGGGGACACAGAGCAAGGACAGCTGACCCCAGCTACCAAAGGGATATTCCATACCATATGACGTCATGCTCAGCATGTAAAATGAGGGAAAGAACAAGGAAACAGGGGAACGTTCAGAGTGACGGTGTTTGTCTTCCCAAGTCACCGTTATGCATGATGGAGCCCTGCTGTCCTGGAGGTGGCTGAACACCTGCCTGCCAATGGGAGGTAGTGAATGAATTCCTTGTTTTGCTTTGCTTGTGTGCATGGCTTTTGCTTTGCCTATTAAACTGTCTTTATCTCAACCCACGAGTTTTCACACTTTTACCCTTCTGATTCTCTCCCCCATCCCACCAAGGGGGAGTGAGTGAGCGGCTGTGTGGGGCTCAGTAGCCAGCTGGGGTTAAACCACAACAGTTGGTTAGGCTTGAATCATCAATATC